TTTTTTTTTTTTTTTTTTTTTTTTTTTTTTTTTTTTTTTTTTAATACTAGCAACTTTCACCCTTTGAAACTTGTGCTGAAAAAGAAGAATCAGCTAATACTACTGAAAGTGCAATATTTGATTATCACTGCGAGGTAGGTTTGTGGTTTAGTAAGAATCAAACCTGAGCTGGGTTTAATGATGCATGCCTATAATCCCAGCACTGGGAGACTAAGGCAGGAAGATTGCAAGTTCAGGTCCAGCCTGGGCAGCTTAGTGATTTGTTGAGACCTTATCTCACAAGAAAAAAAATTTAGTAAAAGGTTGACTATGTAGCTCAGGGTGAAGATGCTGGGTTCAATCCCTGGTATCTCAAGGCAAAACAAATGAATCGGTTCTGTAATTGTGGATTTCCTACTTGATCTAATATAAAAATCCTAATTTCTTATCTAAAGATACTCAAAATCACTTATATATTCTCAATTATCTAATATGAAATTTTATTATTTTTATATTTTTGTTTTTTAGAGACACAGTCTTGCTGTGTAGTGCAGGCTGGCCTTGAACTCACTATGTAGCCCAGTCTGGTAATGCTCCTGCTTCACCCTCTTCTAAGTGCTGGAATTACAGGCCTGCACCCCCATGACTGGCTTCTAATATGTGCTGGTCCCTTGATTTATTGGTCTCTCCCAAACATGCTCTATACTAAAAATTTTCAAATAAGGTGTCCATTGCATTCTTTGTACAGGGATCTTTGAAACCTAGATAATATTTGGTACTGATAATCTCTGCTTTCTACTTTCCACCTCTGTCAACATTCAGTACGTATATACAGTCATTAGCACATTGATGAGTAGTTGACGTGCTTATTATATTGTTAGGTCTTGCTGGTGCTAAGATATAATAATGAATAAAGTATTGATAGACTTAGGATTTAGAGCGGTTTATTAGAAAATAACCATAATTTAGTAAAGAGTAAAATAAAGTTTATGATAAAGTGCTAAGAATATGACGGAAGGATCCGTTCCCTCAGAAGGAAGGACATTTGAAGGTGAGTAGCACTTTGTTAAGATGAGAAGAATCTTCTAGTAGAGGTGTGGTGGTAAGAATTAGACTTAAGGAAATCTGGAGCATATGGTATATATCTTGAACAGTTCAGTTCTAAACAGTTTAAAGAAACAATTTTGTAGGGTGAGGAGAGTAGTTAGACTGGGAGGCTTGCTGGACTCAGATTCTGAAGGACCCAGTACAGTATTTGGCTTTGTTCTGTAGGGAGCCATCACATGGCTTTAAACAAGGGAATGATGGGTTTTGCTTTTCAAAAGAGATCGCTTTACCTGTTTTTGTATTTTGCATTTTTGTTCGCTTGGTTTTTTGAGGCCAGATCTTGCTCTGTGGTTAATACTAGCCTTGAACTCGAGATGATCCTCCTCGGCTTCCCAAGTGCTAGGATTATAGGCATGTGCAACTATGCCTGGCTTAGTGTTTGTTTGTGTTTGTTTTTTGTTTTTTGTTTTAGTAGTACTAAGGATTGAATCCAAAGCTTTGCTTACATTAGGCTTTCAATTTTAAAGTATATTCATTTAAGGAGTAGGTTGAGAGTGAGAAGACTTGAGACTTGAATAGAGTGAGGAAAATATAGTATATAAATGGCGGACCAGGTAGATAATGGGTGTTCTCATGTTAAAAATGAAAACTTGGTGATCAACTCAATGTGAAGACAAGCCTAGAGAGACTGGATTTGATCTAACCAGTTGTCCAAGCTAAAAACCTTTCTGGTTCACAAATATAAAGAAGTTTAGGTGGGAACTTGTTGAAACTAGAACTATATAAATACATTGTACTCCTTAGATTATAATCCAAAGTTGAAAATATGCTAGTGTGAAGTGGTGAGCAGTGGGTATCTTTGGAGAGTAGGATCAGTAAAGGTTCTTTTACTATTTGTTTATTGATAGTGGAAATTGAACCCAGGATCTTCACATTGAGCTTTATCTATAGCTTTTTAAATTTTTTATTGTGAGATAGAGTCTTGCCAAATCACTTAATTGCCCAGGCTGTGCTCTCATTTAGTCTCCTCTTTGGTCTTCTGGAAGTACTGGCGTATACCACATCCAGCTCAGGCTGGCTGGCTGACGTTGGTTCGTTCTTTCTTTCTTTCTTTCTTTCTTGGTTTGGTTTTGGTTTTTTGAGACAGGGTCTTGTTACACAGTTTAGGCTGGCCTTGAACCCTCAGTGATCCTCCTGTCTCGGCTTCCTGATTGCTGAGATCACAGGTGTGGGTCACCACATCAGCCTGTTTTGAAAGATCTAAGAAGTAGTTACCTGAATACTTGTGTGCTAAGCACTAATTCTCAGTTTTTTGGGGTTTTTGGTACTGGGGATCGAACTTGGGACCTTGCACTTGTGAGGCAGGCAGTGGAACCACTGAGCTAAATCCCCAGTCCAATTCTAGGTTTTTTGTATGCAGCAGTTTGTTTTACCATCCCAATAGCCCTTGAGATAAGTATTAAGGTAGAACAAAAATATGAAAGAGAAACCTATGCTTGCTCTAATAATTGAAAATTAATCTCTATAAATTGGAATCTTAGGGATGTGTAGCTCACTGTGAAGATCCTGGAATCAATCCCTAGTACCATACCCAGAAAGGGAGTGAAGGGGAACCCAAGGTTAACTACTCCAGCAACCACCAGGGATTCTTTATATTTTAAAATTTATAAATAATGTGGAATAGGAATTGTTTTAAGGGTTTTGAACATGCATTTCATTTTGAGTTGTTAATGCGATGTATTTCCTGTAGAGTAGAAATTTGATTAAATTTTTATTTTGCTGTAAACAAGGCTAACTTTAAAAAGCATAAAGGTTGAATGTCAAATTTGTATTACTCATCATTGTTATAAACATCATGCTATATTACCACAGCTATTTGACATGGAGAACGCATTTACTCTGTCTTCAGCGCCTCATCCCACTCCTGCAGCCCCTCCTTCACTTTCTTTACCTTTATCTTCATCTACTACCTCATCTGGGACTAAAAAACAAAAGAGGACCCCCACGTATCAGAGATCTGTAAGTTAGGAAAGCACTGCACTTGTCTGGCTTTGTGTTACAAGCATGACTGACTTAGTAAGGCCGCTTAGGCCAATTGAAATGCGCTGCGCAATCGCTTTCTAACTTCTCTGCACTTTTCCTTCACCTTGAATCTTGAGAGATACCTTCTGTAGTTAAGGGTGTTGCTCTTCAACATGTGTCAGGGGACATCTCAAACACTATTCCGCTCTGATTTTGTATCTTAACCAGAATGCCAGGAAACTTAGAAGCCCTAGTTTAGAGCCCATACTGTGGAAGTAGACCTTGGTTTGTTCTACTATTTGAGTTCGTAAGTCATTTAACTTCTATTCTGTCTCCCCTTTGGTAGAATAGAGGTTCTATAATAATAGTACTTTTTCATGGACTTTTGTGAACATTGATTTAATTTATGTCAAAAATAACGGTGGCTAGCATGAAGGAATTAGGACTAACCATGTGCAAATGCAGTGGCCTTGGTTTGCATTTTTAACCGTCCCACATGATATTTTACCTACTCATACTTTGGTTTATCTTTCTACAGTTTTGATCATTCTTTTTTCCTAATGAATATGTATCATTTTTATTAATACTGCTCAACATTATACCTAAATAAAAAATGCTCCTAAGTCAGGTTTTTTTTTCTTTAGTTTTATTTTAATTGATCATAACATAGAGTTTTGTCAGTGTCTGAAAAGTGAAGAGTACCTTAACAGGTGAGAAGGTTTCTTTAAATGTATCTGTGTGATGATTGAACATAATTAGAATTGAAGAGCTTTTGCTATTTTGGAATGTTGCCTTAGAAGTTTAACTCATTTGCGGGGATGGGATTGCCTTTCAAAGGACCTAAATGTGTATTACTCTAAAACTTTCAGAGTGAAGTATGGCATAGATACTTTATGGTGTTAATTCCTGCTAACTTCATTCATTCATTCATTCATTTATTTATTTATTTAGATACTTTATGGTGTTAATCCCTAACTTCATTTATTTATTTGTTTGTTTGTTTGTTTGTTTATTGGTACCGGGAATCGAACTCAGTTCCTTGCGCTTACAAGGCAGGCTGCAGAACCACTGAGCTAAATCCCCGGCCCTATGCTAACTTTATTTATTGGCAGGCATGGGGCCACTGAGCTAAATCCCCAGCCCACCCTACTAACTTTAAATATGCCTTCAGCATGCATGGTTTGCCAAGTAGTATTAAGATGTTTAGTTAAGTTCCAAAGTAGTTAACAAAAATATCTTATGGAAATGTCTTGGTAGTTTTGGATTGCCATCTTATTTCTAAAATTGTTGTTGTAATTCAGAATTAACCTAGCCAGGTGTGTGGTGGCACACACCCCAGCACTTGGGAGCCTGAGGCAAAAAGATTGGTTTGAGAACAGCCTGGACTACATAATGAGTTCAAGGCCAATTTGAACTATATAGAAAGAATTTGTCTCCAAAACAAAACAACAACAACAAAAGTTAACCTAAAGGCAGCTTTTACTAGTATAATTACTTTACTTTAGCAACTTCAAGGCT